CGGCAGCGGCGGCGGGGCCGGCCGAGGAGCGCTGGGCCGCGAACCCCCGGAGCGCACGGCGCCACTCACACCCAACGCCCGCCGGCCAGGGAGGCGGAAAGGCCGAGCGCGTCATTTCCGGTCCCGACCGCCTGAGGCCCCCGGGGATGTCCACGGCAGTGCCTGAGCACCTGCGCTGCGCCGCTTCTGCGCCTGCGCAGCGCGCCACGTGGCCGTGGCCAAGGCTCCAGAGCGGGTGCGCGCGCGCGCGCGCTGGGGCCGGGGTTTTGCGGGTGATGACGCACTTCCTTCCAGCCCGCCAGCGTGACGTCACTCCTCCGCGCAGGCTCCCGAAAGACTGGCTGGACCTCCCACCTTACTGTGAAAGACAAAGATGGAGGGTCCCTAACGACAGATCTCCCTCTCATTCTCTTAGGCGATGGGCAGCCCGTGGCTCTTGTTAGAATTAAACTGAGTTTGCTCTTCAAGTTCAGTTACAAGCCGCTGTGCACAGTGATTCTGTAACAGCCTGAACAGAAGCGACTCCATTTTGTTAAACTTCTAAGTTAAAGGTTTTTTCTTACTCGTGTAACCTGAACTGCATAGTTTGCAGCTGGACATTAGAATACCATGATTCTTGTTCACGTGATGCTGGAACATAAAGACTTTTGCTCACACTGTACACAGCGTAATTGTAGAAGAAACTGTTAACCCAGGTGGCCACTCTTTACTAGACCTTTTTGAGGTTAACAGGAACTGAGTCTGACTTGACTTCACGGAGGATGGTCACCGTGAATCAGCTCCCACCTGAGAAGCTCTTTGATGCTTATTTGCAATTTTATAATTATGCCTGCACATCCCTGCTTAAATCACCATGAATCAACCCCCTACCACCTGTCCCTGTGAAACCTTTGGCAAGTCTGGGAAAAGCAGAGATGGTCTTTGAGGCATGAGTCCACCATTTCCCCAGGCTGGCAGCTTCCTGATTAAAAGCCACCTTTCCTTACATGAACACTTGTCTGTCAATTATTGGCTACTGAGCTGCCAGCAAACAGACCTTTGGGGCTTTAGTAACAATTCGATTTCAAAATAACATCACACTGTAGTCTCGTTTTACAAGAGGAGGAAAATTAAAGGGAGCAATTCCTCTAAAAAGATAACCTATAAAAGAAATTGAAGAAAAACATGAATTGTCTTACAGCCACTTGAAAACATTATGTACATAGTTTCAATTGAAATATTCCAACAAGGAAAACTTTGAGTAGCAAGCAGACATCAAACAGGCAACTGTAAGTTGATGGGATATCGTAACAGTAGTTCAGGGTTGTGTAATACAGAATCTGGCTAGCCTTTGCCCAGGTTCCTGGGAGGTTACCTCTGAACTCTGAGGATTGCTTGAGTGACAGGAACACCTTTATTATTCATGGTGGGCCCTGACAATTTATGCTAAAACGACTTAGGATGAGAGCTGGCCATGCCTCAAAGACCAACCTTGTGATTCAAAGGTTGGGGCTTTGATCCAGGTGATGTCAGCCTTGCCTGGGGAGAGGAGCTGGAGATTCAACTACGTGGACTACATAACAAAACGCCAGTAGAAATCCTCAACGCTAAAGCTCAGGCAAGCATTCCAGGTTGGCAATATGTATTCTGTGTAAAACATGGATGTGCTTCATGCCAGGAGGGCAGTGCTTCCTGAGTCCATAGGAAGGGAATAAAGTTAAGTTTCACATGTTTGGGACCTCCCAGACCTCCCTCTATGCATCTCTCCCTCAGGCTGGTTCTGATTTATCCTCTTTTGCTGTAATAAAACTGCAACTGGAATAGCATTTTCCTGAGTTCTTTGAGTTGTTCAAGTGCATTATTGAACCTCAGGAGGTAGAAGGAAAACCCCCAAATTTGTAGCCTGATCAGAAGTGAGGGTGACCTGGAGACGTCCAAACTTGTGGCTGGTGTCTGAAATGAAGGCAGTTTTACAGAGGACAGTGCCCTTAACTTATGAAGTTTGGCCCAACTCAGAGAACTATTGTCAAAAGTTATTGCAAGGATACTAGGGAAACATGCATCTGGAGGACCTAAACCTAGTCCAGGAGTCCAGGAAAGGCCACCTGTTTAAGTGATCATGAACCCGAAATCCTTAGGAAGACTGGAAATTAAACCAAAGGTATGTGTGCATTGCCTGGACTAGGGTGGGGGAAAGGTGAGGATATAGAGGTGCCGAGCACAGCAGATGATTCAGATCAGAGGATTGCACACAGCAAAGTAATACTAAAAGCTTTTCCTTATACCCTGCACATTAGATTTTGATCAGCGGGTTGTGGAATGACCTGAGTGGATCATAACCAATTTCTTTAATAAAATAAAAAATATCAGATAGCAACAAATGTAGTAAGAAACAGTCCTGTCATGCAAAACGTGAAGTTAAATACATCCATGTTTGTATTGGTCACAATGTAAAATTAAAGCTGATGCAGTTCACAAAGAAGTGTGAAATCACTGATCAAGTCCAACTCTCTTATTTCAGCAATCAAGATACTTGAGTAGGGCCGGCCCGGTGGTGCACTGGAGAGTGCGCCGCTTGGGAGTGCGATGGCGCTCCCGCCGAGGGTTCGGATCCCACATACAGACCGGTTCCCGCTCACTGGCTGAGCGAGGTGTGGGAGCAACACCGAGGGTTGCGATCCCGTTGCCGGTCCCAGTCCGGTACGGGCGTGACACTGAGGGTTGCGATCCGTTGCTGGACACGAAAAAAGACAAAAAGGAAAAAAAAAAAAAAAAAGATACTTGAGTACAGAGAGGTTGAGAAAGTTGACCAAGCTCACACGGTGGTCAAGAAACCAGACGCCCTCACAACCTATGTAAAGGACATTAAGATTCGTCTAACCAGAGAGAGAGAATACTTGGTTAGATGATGTAAAGCATTCCTAAGTAAGAATTCTTTAACCTTAGGATCATTACAGAAAACATACTTTCATGAGGTAGAGTCAGAGAAAAAGTGTTCATGAGAAAAAACAAAAGAAATGCTCACAATTAATCAAAACCACCAATAGTCTTTATTACCATCATTAAAAGTCAAATTTTAACCACTGTTGACCACCCATATATACTCTCATGGATAGAATTATTTAATCAGCTATAACAGAATACCAGAATTTTCCCAGGTAACAAAGAACTATACAAAGTATCTCTGGTGGAATTTTTTATAAAATACATATTACTTTCTTCCTATGTCAAATGTGTTTTTTAAACTATTATAGTCGACACACGCATATTCTGCTTACAGAAAGTTGAAATTTCAGTTATAGAGTAACAAGTGTAAAGTAAAATATTAACCTGCTATGTTACAGGAGAGTCACAATTAAGTCTATGCGCACAGACCAAATATGCACATCATCTACATAGTCTACAGATGTTGCATCTTTATACAGGAAATATATGCAAAAATGCTCAAGAATGATCAGCTAATAAATATTTACTGAGCCCTACTGATGAAAGACAAGGTTCTAAGCACTGTAAAGGATACTAAGCCTAAAATATCCAGTCCCTGGATACATGAAAATGGAGCTCCTTCTGCTCTCCGCAGAGCTACATTTTAAAGACCCATTGTGCTACTCCCCAAAGACAAGATTTTCAAAACAATATGTAACACTCACTGTCCTCTCCTCCCACCTCCTTATCCACCTAAGTGACATGATGTATGTTCACTGCAGATTCTGCTTGCCTAAGATCGGCCGCCCCGCTGTGCTCCCGCCCTGGTCTCCCTCCTGGGCTGGTAAAACCTGTGAGACAGGCACCAGCTCATCACAAGTTTAAGCCCCGAGGGAGCGTAGTGGTACTCTCTCCCCTAGCTGAACTTTATTTATACTTTGTGACTTAATTACCATATTTCATTAGAAAATGTTTCCTTTAAAAATGATTTTTTGGGAAAGATTATTTCATTTTACTGAGTGACATGAATTCAAGATTACAAGTTTTCCAGGAAGAATATTTTGCAAATAAAAATAGAAATCTGCTTTATAGACAATTTGCCAAGAACTTCAATAATCAGTCCAGTCACTGGTTAGAAATAGGAAATCAGGGCAACATTTCATTTAACATTCTTGTTGGTCAGTTATTATTAGGTTAACAGAATAAAATAAAAATCCAGAACTCCACTTACCAAAAGTGCAAGAAAGAAAAATGAGTCGATACTATATAACAGCTCTCAAACCTTCCTTCTTAGACCTTGGATCAGTATTTCCACTCAAATTATGAAGATATTGGTTTAAGTACAATCAGTATTAAGATTTATTGCTTTTCTTTAAATTTACTTACTTTTTAAATTAGTCTCAGCCCAGCAAATAATAATCTTGAAATAACTGTCTGAAATGTTAATTATATATTTCTAACATATACTAAAACAACAGTAAACCGTTAAAATTCTGAATGTTCACCCTAGGTCTAAAATCATCTTATACCACCAGTAGTAACGCATAATCAATGGTAACTGATCTGCCTACATCATAAAACAAACGCTCCAAAGGTAGTATTACAATGAGGATAAACTAAGGACATGGAAGTCTCCACATTTCACAGATACCATCCATAAATCCAGAAACTCAATACATGGGCTCACGACATTCTTAATTAGCAGTACTGGGGAAAGAGGGGCAGCTTCTGATTGCTACTTCTGCTTTCTCTTTTTCTTAGTTCGCCCACTTTTCTTCTGTCCTTTCTTCTTTTTAACGAGAACAGCTTTTTCTCCACTAAATAAACTGTTAGAATGTTCTCCTGCATTTTTGGAAGCAAAATTAAGTCTCTGCTTAGGTTTACTGACATTCTTCAAACCTGGATTTGAATTCGGTTGTTTTAATTTTTCTTTATTAACAGAACGCATGACTCTGAGTTTTCTTCCCATTAGTTCAGAATTATTCAATTTCAGAGCAAGATGAACAGCATCTGTATTCTGCAATTAAAAAAAAAAAAAAAAGGTTACTTTCCACCTGAAACTCATCTGCAAAGAAAATAGTGAAATTGCGACTTTAATGGATTAGAATGACTTCAGATAGTAGACATATTATTTTACTACTTAATGATATGCATAAAATACTGGTTAACTATTAGTGAACTAAATATAACCAGTTTTTTTTTTCCTTTTTGTCTTTTTTACTGACCGGTAACGGGATCGCAACCCTCGGTGTCGCGCCCGCACCGGGGACTGGCAACGGAATCGCAACCCTCGGTGTTGCGTCCGCACCGCGCTCAACCAGTGAGCGGGAACCGGTCTCCACATGGGATCCGAACCCTCGGCGGGAGCACCGCCACACTCCCAGACAGCGCACTCTCCAGTGCGCCACCGGGCCGGCCCTAAATATAACCAGTTTTGTACAAAGACTAAAATTTTCTTCTACCTGAGTGAATGGTCAGTTATTTTCTCCATTTTATGGAAGGTGGAGATCAGAGATTTAGTCCCTCTAATATCCAATATCTAAAACAGGACTGGCCAGTTAGCTCAGTTGGTTAGTGTGGTGCTGATGACACCAAGGTCCAGGGTTCAATCCCTGTACCAGCCAGCTGCCAATTAAATAAATACATAAATAAATACATTATTTAATACTCTTAGGGGGAACAAGAACATCTTTTGGTTAGGTGCAATTACAGCAACAGCAGTCTTATGGTAGGTTATGAATTTAGTTTTCTAAAGAGGAAATGTGAGGGTGAATGTGACAGTTATTCCTGAATGATGATGTAACAGTGACAACCCCTGCCAGCGCTTCTCAAAGGACAGTGACAGTGCATTTGTCTCCCATACCTCAAAGAGCACGTAGCCGAAGCCTTTGCCGACTCCCGTCATCTGGTCTCGCACAATCCTCACTGCCACGACACTCCCGCAGTCCAGAAAGTGTTTCTCGACAGCGGATTCTTCAACCTCTGAGAATAAATCCAAACCAAATGGAAGTAAAGACTGGCCTCTGCTCAGAAAGCCAGAGTTGTTTAATACAGCTAGTTAAGCATAGCCCCATGAAAATAAGTCGCTCCATTGCACGCTGTTTAAAGTTAATCTTAAAGCAAAACATTAAGTTACTACTAATTTTTATTTCCCTTTTGTTTAATAACATTATCTGTACTTTGTTTAAACAAACTTACTGTAAGGGAGATTCCCCACAAACACTGATCTCTTGTCCCTCTGAAACACAAAGAGGATTAATAAAAATCACTCACTGGACCAGAAAATGGAAGTCATTCTAAGATCTACCCTTCCCTCCATGTGCCCCCGTATCTCCCGGGCCACCCATCTCCTGATTAAACCACACCACTTTTTCAATTCACATTTACTTTTTCGATTCTGTCTCTTCCAGCTCCCCCACTGGACTGTGGGTAAGCACTGGAGGACAGAGTGGCCTTTCCTCCACAGCTGGCACTGACACTTGGCAGTGTCAGGAAGGGCTTGCCATACTCACTGGGGTCAATAAACTATGTCTGTAAAGGGCTAAACAGCAAGTATTTTAGGCTTGTGGGCCATGTGGTCTGTGTGGCAATTATTCAACTCAGTCATTGTAGCTGGAGAACAACCGTAGATAATACAGCACCCAGCAGGTGTGGTTGTGTGCCAATAAAACTTTATTAACAAAAACAGGAGGCAGGTGGATCTGACCATCAGGCCACAGTTCGCTGACTCTGTGCTAGGCCTCCAGTCAGGCCAGGGCTTTCCTCAGGCACCGTCATTTCTCCATGAGGTCACTTTGACATTGACAGAAATGCACTCAATGATCTTGTGGGTGAGCCCTTAAAACCAGTCCTTCATTTGTTTCCAGGCACCTCTGTTGAATGCAAATCTGATCACATCACTCCTTCGTTTAAACTTTTGGAACATCCCCTGGAAAACTCCAGACTCCTCTGCATAAAGCACAGCAGACCAGGGTCTCCATGATTTGGCCTCTACCTATCTGTCCAACATCAACTCTTAACTACTGCCCTTCACACCCACCCACCTGATCACCGCATCAAACTCTTGCCATTTCCTGAGCACATTAAGTTTCCGTCCCCACCATTTATACTGTTTTTTCTGACTGGATATCACCATTGTCCTTTAAAATGTTTTTTGTCTATCTTTTTTTTTTTTTTTTTAAAAAAAGATGACCGGTAAGGGGATCTTAACCCTTGACTTGGTGTTGTCAGCTCCACGCCCAGCCAGTGAGCGAACCGGCCATCCCAAGTCAAGGGTTAAGATCCCCTTACCGGTCATCTTTTTTTAAAAAAAAAAAAAAAGAAGATAGACAAAAAACATTTTATTTTATTTTATTTTTATTTATTTATTTATTTTAAAAGATGACCGGTAAGGGGATCTTAACCCTTGACTTGGTGTTGTCAGCTCCACGCCCAGCCAGTGAGCGAACCGGCCATCCCAAGTCAAGGGTTAAGATCCCCTTACCGGTCATCTTTTAAAATAAATAAATAAATAAAAATAAAATAAAATAAAATAAAATGTTTTTTGTCTAGGTAATGCCCACTCATCTTTCAAGACTGATAAAAGACCTGCTGTCCTGGAAACCCTCCTCGTCCTTCTTGCTGGCAAGTCCCCAAGTCAAGTGCCCCGTTCCTGAGCTGACAAAGCATCCTGTGCACTTACGACAGCATCTACCGTAAAGTAGTGCTGTGGTTTCTGCTAACCTCTACCATACACAGTGAGCTCCTGGAGAGTTGAGACTATGACCTAGGACTGTACGTGTTACAGAGTAGGTAACTCAAAAACTCTTTAATGAATAATAGAACCCTCTAGATCTCAGTCTAGGAAATAAAGTTAGACTAGATGATTTCTGATATACCTTCCAGCCTAACTTGCAATGATTATTCGATCTAATAGTGGGGCTGGAGGACAAACCCCAAACAGGAGATGACTCTGCCCTTGAAGCTGACGTTGACTTTAAGTTCCTCTCAGCACCAACTCTGTGACCACAGAGGACGGAGGCTGTCTCCCTCCTGCCTCCCTTATGCTGATTCCATTCCCCTCCCAGCAAAAGCTCAGAAGGAAATATTACTCTCTAAGAGTAAGGCTCTAAGTTCTTTAAACGAATCAAGGACTACTTACAGATGAGGTCTCAGATGCGAGATCAACTCTGATACGAAATCCATCTGCAATTTGGGCCCCATTTCTGTGTTATAAATACAAGGGGGAAACGGCTGTTAACAATGATCCTGAAATTACTAAAAAATTTGCTCTAAAGTGAAATCATAGAATAAAAGAAATACCCACACATACTTATATAATAATCATTCTGTTCAAACCTCTGAGATAAAATTACCTTTTCAATGCTTTTGTAGCTGCACCCTCGTCCTTAAACACAACATAAGCATTAACATATTTCTGGTCAGGATGAATTTTACGTCTACAAAACAAAAAGGACAATGTAAAATTTGCTAACCTCAAAGTCACTAGAATAAATCCAGCTTGTTTTCTACTCTCGATCAGCACACATGACAAGAATTCCTGGGTGGAAGTTTCATCTCTGAATAAATATTTAGTAATAACTAAAAACACACACACATAACTGATAAATATGTTGGCAGAAACATCCAACCCACACCTTGTTAGGGGTCGTCACTGTGAGAAAATGGGGCCCACCCCGGATGCAACCCTTGCGCCAGCCCGTGGCTCACTCGGGAGAGTGTGGTGCTGATAACACCAAGGCCACAGGTTCAGATCCCTATATAGGGATGGCCAGTTAGCTCACTTAGGAGAGCGCGGCGCTGACAACACCAAGTCAAGGGTTAAGATCCCCTTACCGGTCATCTTTAAAAAAAAAAAAAAAAGAAGAAAAAAAGAATTCAGGTATACTTTACAGAATACTAAAATGCTCTGAAAAAGAATGACTTTTACAGACAGATCTCCAAGGTGCACAAGTGGAGAAAGGGAGGGTGAGCAGTAGCGTACATGCTGAATACCGCTGAGTCAAAGTCATGTGTGGGGAGAACGTGTGTGCACACCAGTTTGTAAATGCATCAAATGTCTCCAGAAGGTTACACAAGAAAATAAAACCAGCACTTGCCCAGGGAATGGAATTGGCTGACTAGGGAAAAGGTGTAGGAAAGAAACTTTTCACTGCATACACTTTTATACTTTTTTATTTTGAACCATCTGACTCATTCCTTACTGAAATAATTTCCCCACAGTGTCTGAACAATGTCTCGCATCTAGAGGCCTAATTTAGTTTGGATATATTGGTCTCCCTAAAGCTCATGTTGAAATGTGATCCCCAATGTGTCTGTGTTGGGAGCTTATTGAATCATGGGGGAGGATCATTCATGAATAAACTAATGCCTTGGGCGAGGGCTGGGGGATAGTTCCAGGGAGAGCTGGTTGTTTAAAGGACCCTGGCACCTCCTCTCCCTCTCTCTCTTGTTTCCTCTTGCCATGGGATCTCCTTGCACCTACTGGCTGCCCTGCCACCTTCTACCAGGAGTAGAAGCAGCCTGAGGCTCATGCCCCATGTAGCTGTACCAGAATTGTGAGCCAGATAAACCCCTACTCTTTACAAATTACCCAGTTTCAGGTGTTCTGTTACAGCTACACAAAAAGGGACTAATACAAAGTCCTACATGATTGTTACCTGAACAAACATGACTGTGGGAGCCAGTAAACGTTTATCGAGTGTTAACTACGCACCTGGCTCTGGGATAGTTACGGGGAAAACCAGCACAGACTGGTGTGCCAAATGGCTCCAAATTAAGAATGAATGTAGAAATGGAGTCACCCAGATGTCCACAGGGACTGCCCACTACAGTGATGCAAAATTTTGATAGAACAAGATTCCCAGAGATGTTTCTAAAGTATATTATTATATTTTATCTAATATAAAGAAATCTCTGCTTATAAAATCCATGATTTCATGTACAAAAGAAAAAAAGGAAAGAACATTAGAAAATCTTTTTTTAACCAAAAAACAAGAAAAGAAAGGAAAGCACGCAAGATAGACTAATAGGAAACCCAGCGTAAAGCTGAAGCAAGTGGAAACAAACCTTCCACCTGGGAGGGAGGCAAGGAGTGTCTGTCTCAGTCTTGGTTTGGGGTAGAAGGGGGGAACCCCCTGAGAATTTGAACCACACGCCACACTACCAGTGTGGCCCCAAACCTCAGACACAGAACACTAAGTGCTTTCAGGCTGCTGGTGGCCCTGGTGACCAGCAGAGGCAGACACGAGGTCTTTCCGGGATACCCTGAGTGCTGACGGCAAAGTACGAGGCACCCTCGGAATGGATGAAATACAGTGCTTATGATTTATGTGTCCTACGAAATTTGGGCATAAAACTTTCCTTATTTTCTTCCAAACACTAACAACATTCTTCAAAGCTCTCGTGGTGCATTTCCCGGTAAATTATTTCACAGTTCTTTCTGTGACTCTACGGTTTACATGAAGGCTTAAAGACAAACATCCGACAAATTCATATGGTACTACAGACACAAGGAAAAAGTCAAGCACGCTGTATTACCCCAATACAAAAATCTACGAAATTGTTAAGAAGTGGTCTCGGGCCGGCCCGGTGGCGCACTGCTATAGTGCGCCGCTTGGGAGTGTGGTGGCGCTCCCGCCGAGGGTTCGGATCCCACATACAGACCGGTTCCCGCTCACTGGCTGAGCGAGGCGCGGGAGCGACACCGAGGGTTGCGATCCCGTTGCCGGTCCTGGTCCGGTACAGGGGTGACACTGAGGGTTGCAATCCGTTGCCGGACACGGAAAAAGACAAAAAGGAAAAAAAAAAAAAAAAAAAAAAAAGAAGTGGTCTCAATTTGTAACCAGAAAGGAAGGGAGTTAAGATGACTCCCTTCCTCTAATTATAAACTTACTTTATTGCTGCCAACTTTTTCGACAGAGTTCCCTCTGCTGGAATCTTTCAAAAGGAAAAAAAATTATTAAAGAAAATTCAATATTTGAAATATTACTTCAAATTAATTATATCTTAACTGAAGCCTAAATATCTAACGCGGGTATGTCATGATTAAAAACATTCCAGGGAAATAACTCAGAAACAACTGTCCTAATGTTATGTGAAAGAGACCTCGTGAACTACAGTAATTAAGAATTTCCAATGACAGTACCATACTCAGATGTAATGGGGAGTGACTCTCAAAGGACCTAGATGGGAGGAAAGACACTGGGCTCTCGAATCACATAAGATGCCCCAGATGCGACCCTGAGGTTGAAAACACATGAAAGAACTGAGGAAAACTGTCTTATAAAAGGAGTTAGGACAATACAAGACTGCTCAGCCATAAACAGGAATGAAATCCTGATATCACAGCCACATGGATGAGGTCAGAGGATGTTGTGTTAAATGAAGCCAGGCACAGAAAGAGAAATACCACGTGTTCTCACTCATATGCGGAAGCTAAGAAAGCTGACTGCATAGAAGTAGAGAGCAGAATGGTGGTTACCAGAGGCTGAGAAAAGAAGAAAGACAGGGAGAGGTTGGTTAACAGATTTGAAAGTACAGCTAGATAGGAGGAACAGGTCTCTATAGCACTGTAGAGTGGCTGTAACTATTTATTGCATAGTTTCTATCAGCTGGGAGAGAGACTTTTGAATGTTCCCAACACAAAGAAATGACAAATGTTTGATGTAATAAAAAAAAAAAAAAAGGATCAGCGGTCGCCAGAGTTCAGGGGAGGAAGGAAGGAGAGAGGGATGAATAGGGAGAACAGATACAATTCTGGGGCAGCAAAACTGTTCTGTATGATAGTGTAGTGGTGAATAAATGACATTACACACTTGGCAAAACCCACAGAACTGTACAACACAAAGAGGGAACCCTGACGTAAAACTGAGTTAATAATATTGGTTGAGGGCCGGCCCGGTGGCGCACTGGATAGTGCGCCGCTTAGGAAGCGCGGCAGCGCTCCCGTCTGAGGGTTCGGATCCCATATACAGACCGGTTCCCGCTCACTGGCTGAGCGAGGCGCGGGAGCAACACCGAGGGTTGCGATCCCGTTGCCGGTCCCCGGTCCGGTACGGGGGCAACACTGAGGGTTGCGATCCGTTGCCGGACACGGAAAAAAAGACAAAAGGCGAGGCGCGGGAGCAACACCGAGGGTTGCGATCCCGTTGCCGGTCCCCGGTCCGGTACGGGGGCAACACTGAGGGTTGCGATCCGTTGCCGGACACGGAAAAAAAGACAAAAGGCGAGGCGCGGGAGCAACACCGAGGGTTGCGATCCCGTTGCCGGTCCCCGGTCCGGTACGGGGGCAACACTGAGGGTTGCGATCCGTTGCCGGACACGGAAAAAAAGACAAAAGGCGAGGCGCGGGAGCAACACCGAGGGTTGCGATCCCGTTGCCGGTCCCCGGTCCGGTACGGGGGCAACACTGAGGGTTGCGATCCGTTGCCGGACACGGAAAAAAAGACAAAAGACAAAAAAAAAATAATAATAATAATAATAATATTGGTTGATAACTGTAACAAACGTACCACACACATGTAAGATGTTAATAGGAAAAACTGTGCATGTGGGCGGGGCTGGGGGATTGAGGGGGTTTATGGGAACCATGTGCACCTTCCGCTCAATTTCTCTGTAAACCTAAAACTGCTATAAAAATAAGGTCTATTACTTAGAAAAAAGAATGAGTATGGGAAAAAGGCAATGTTTATACAATTGTATATCCTATATAATTTTAAATATGCCTAACTAGATTAATAAATATTAACACATATCACTTGATCTGTATCCCTAAGAGTTTACATATTACAGTTGGAAAAAAAAAAAAACAGTGGTATCTTTAATTGGGCAAGTAAGGGAATCCCTTTATATTCAGGCTGACATTATTTTCAGTCATATACAAGGGTACTTCAAAAAATTCATGGAGGGCTGGCCAGTTAGCTCACTTGGGAGAGCCTGGTGCTAATAACACCAAGGTCAAGGATCCCCATACCAGCCAGCCACCCAAAGAACAAAAGTTCATGGAAAAATAGAATTAAAAGATAATACAAATTTTGGGCCAGCCTGTGGCTTACTTGGGAGAGTTTGGTGCTGATAATACCAAGGCCTCGGGTTCAGATCCCTATATAGGGATGGCCAGTTCGCTCACTTGGGAGAGCGTGGTGCTGACAACACCAAGTCAAGGGTTAAGATCCCCTTACTAGTCATCTTAAAAAAAAAACAAAAAAGATAATACAAATTTTTCCATGAACTTTTTGAAGTACCCTCATATAGCTTTTAACAGTGAATGGGGCCAGTAGAGAAACCAAGTCAGCAACTATGACTGTCAGCAACATGCCAAAAACAGCCAGGCACTGACAAGATCAAGGTGAAGAGATACCAGCCCTTGAGTTCACAATCTAGGAGCATCAATCAATGAAGATCTCATTTAGGGCAGCTCTTATAAATCTTCTCTAGAAAACTTCTCTTAGCCACCTGATGGTTTACATAGGAAAACTAAGAAATCTGACATACTTTCTTCTCCTCTCAGTTTGTCCTGCTCAAATCACTAACATAGTCAAACTCTAAAAACACAGACAGGAGAACAGTACAAGACATGAGAAATGTCCAAATGAATGATCAACATGTGAGTGACAGTCAACAAAACACATGTACCGGGAGCCTTCTGGGAGTTCTAAAGGATCTATGTCCTGTTACTGAAGACACTAGTGAATAAATATAAGAAATACTGTACAAGAATTCAGAGGAAAAAATACCATTTAACAGTATAAAGTATCAGAAACGGCTTGAAGAAGTCACATTTTAACTGCATACAGTATTTCATAAGCAAAATGGGACTTAAAGGACAAAAGTGAAACCGAAAAAGAAAAAAACACAAAAGGTGAGAAAGCCCAGGTGTGGAGGGTTGCCACCCCATGCGGGGCCATGCTGTGCAGAACTGTCAGGCTGAGGACATATTTCATTCACAGTGAGAACAACTGAGAGTTTGCAGACACTCCCATACATACTGAGTGGGCACCACGTGCAGGTGCTGGTGGCCCAAGGATGAGTAAAGACAAACAGGGTGTTTGTAATCCCAGCTGGTGGTCTGGTGGGGCGGGCAGACGATGTCATACTCCACAGTACAGAGCACACAGTGCTCTAACGAAGGACGGGGGCTGTAGAGGGCACTGCAGGGTCACCAAGAAGACCCGAGGCCCAGGGACAGGAAAGAATCTGGACAAGTTCCCCAAAGGTGAGAAGGTGAGAAGGTCATGCCAGACCAAGGTGTGTGTGGTGGGTGGTACCAAAGTGGGCAGGAAGGAGTCCAGAAAGATCTTCCTAAGATCAAGTGGACAGTGGTACATGGGACAAATCAGAGGAGGACTGACAGCAGAAACCGTAACAGGCCTCCCCAGCGACTCCAACAAGAGGTAATGAGCACTTAGGTGGTACAAGGGTTTAAGAAAGAAATGACTCATCTGGGGAAGAACCACAGTCGAAAACAGGCAGGGATGGCACCCACAAGGCTGGTGGGCCTAACGTGAGTCAAAGGCAGGCACAAAGCTTGCAGCCTTGGGGTCGCTAGCTAATCTAGAAAATCAGCTGGCAGCACAGGCAGGGGTGGCGGTCAGATGGAGGCAAGCACAGACATGCAGAAACTGGGGTGCTGGCAAGACACCCAGGTTAGCGTGTCAGGCAAGGGTTTCACATGGGGAGAGGGACTCAGAAAGGCAGACAAAATACATGTGATAAAAGCAAGAAACAAACATATCAAGAGAAATTATGGAGACTGTCGAAACCATGGGAAATGTCCACTTCTAGGGCAGTGGGCAGTCTTGCCCCCTGAGGATTTGGCAACAACTGGAGATATTTTGGGTTGTTACAACTGGCTGGGGAGGGTGCTCCAGCATCTAGTGGGTTAAAGCCAGGGATACGACTAAGCACCCTACAATGCACAGGGCAGCTCCCAACAGAAAAGAATCATCCAGCCCAAGTTGTCAAGAGTATCAAGTTGAGAAACTCTATTTTAGAGAATCACACGAAAAAGAGCAACTAGACACATGGAATAACATTTCCTACATTCTAGTACACAGTAATTACATTAAAAAATAGTGTTCAAGAATATAATACTGTGGTAAATCAACTATGCAGTAAACGAATTAAAACAATTACATATGGGAAAACGAAATAATACAAGTAATGTTTATTTCATGCTCCAAGGAATGTGGCTATAACAGGACCAGAGTGCTCGGTTAGTAAAATCAGATACCACTCACTTCTATAACATTTTAACATTAAATTGATTTTAAAAAATACTTCATCTTTTTGTGCTCAGAGCATAAATACTGTTTACAGCAACAATACCAGCCTCCCATACTGAATGCATATGACGGCACATGAGATCCCAGCAATGCTATTCAATAAGTATTAACTTTCCAGCCAACTCTATTGACACAGCAAATAAAAATCACCCAACCTCCCTCCAAAATACACTAGTGGCTTAAGTAACAAAAATATCATTTTATTATGTAAACTCATTAGATGCGAACCTGTTTATTCAAAAGGTTGAAGTCAAGTGCTCCTCCGCCTTACTAATACCAAGAAGTTAATAAGTCTGATTTAAATGCAATACGTTCTAAGATTATGCAACTTTAAGGGGAAAGAAAACATACCAGAGAACGAAATCGTACAGATTCTATTTGTCCATACTCTTTAAAAAATGACTTCAGCTTCTAAAATTAAAAAATACATATATACATTAGCCCACTTTCAAAACATCAATAGATGCTACATCTTTTACAACCAGTTTTTATTTTAAGAACATTTCAGGAAAAGTAGGTTACTAGTCAGTTGAATAGACAAAAAAATTTTGCTGAAACTTATATAGAAACAAAACACAATTTAAGTTCACATTAGTATCCATGAGGTGAAACAAAACACAATTTAAGTTCACATTAGTATCCATGAGGTGCACAATATTTATGTCTTTCAATCTTTTATGATCTTTACTGAAACTAAATTAAAGTGAGACTTACATCTTCCATAGATTCTCTCATCTTTTCACATTGGCTTAAACCAGAAATGGATTTTAAGTTGCTTATGTCACCATGAGAAATTCTCCAGCTGTCTCTAATTAAAGACTACCAGATTAAGAAAATTCCTAGCAGGTGAGGTTTATGCAGTATTCTATGACCCAGCTTACGATGTGAAGAATGAACATGTTTGATTGGCAGTACAATAATTTCTATAACCAATTCTAATTAAAAACAACTTACTGAACGGTTAGTATTTGTGCAAAGTACTATTCACACTCCCTTCCCCTGAGCCCCTAATAATCTAATAGGAAAATCAATAACCAAAAGTATGCTACAAAGCAAAGTGTGTGTGGGGCAGGCCCGTGGCTCACTCGGGAGAGTGCGGTGCTGATAACACCAAGGCCCCGGGTTCGGATCCTACATAGGGATGGCCGGTTGCTCACTGGATGAGTGTGGTGATGACAACACCAAGGCCCCGGGTTCGGATCCCATATAGGGATGGCCGGTTGCTCACTGGATGAGTGTGGTGATGACAACACCAAGGCCCCGGGTTCGGATCCCA